GGAGGAGGCGGAGGAGGAGGAGGAGGAGGAGGAGGAGGAGGAGGAAGAGTAGGAGTAGGAGTAGAGAGTAGGGAGGAGGAGGGGAGGAGGAGGAGGAGGAGGAGGAGGAGGAGGGGAGGAGGAGGAGGAGGAGGAGGAGGAGGAGGAGGAGGAGGAGGAGGAGCCGAAGCTCGGGATCAGCCTGCGCAGACCCAGGAGCCAACCATCAATCCATTCGCGGCTCGTGGCGGCTCACGTGGGCCACAACATCGGGCCTCTTCGAGCATTTGGGGTGCCTCTGAAATGCGGCTTCCTTGGAGCCCTCCTGAAGTCCGCTTGGGAGCCTTAGGTGCCCTTGTCGGGCCGTCTTTCAGGACGTCTACCAAAGAGGGCGAGATCCCACTTAGCCCCGCCCCTCTGTAGCCCCAAGAACTGACTCTCGGGGCCCCGCCAACCCGCCGTCGGCACTGAGTGATTCACCCTGAGGCCCGTGAGGAGCCCCCACTTCGAGAAGTGATCGCGCAATACTCTTTAGGGGGTCCAAAGCACAGCGTTTCCCTTGCCGCTTCCGTGCGCTCTCGCGCGCTGCCCAAGGGGTGCTCCGCGCGACCTTGGTAGAAGGGAGGAATCAACAGAACCCCTCAACCACTTAGATCGGCGGTGGACAAACCTCCCTCCAGCACACCACCCTTTAGCGAAAACGGCCCAGGACCTAAACCGACGGCCCTGGACCCGCAAGAATGGCGGCCGCGCGACCCTCTCGCGAACCGAAAACGGCCAATTCGCCAATCGACGCGTCAGGGTAGGAGGTCCATCGACCTCCGAAGGCATTCTCAGAAGGCGGCGGGGCTTCTCAGAAGCCCTCGGGCCTTCCGAAGAGCGGCCTCTGCCTCCGGAGAAGACCCAGAACTTCTGTCTTCGGAGGGGGCCTCATCGACGCGGCGGGGCAGGATGCCTATCAACCTCCGACCTATAGATGCTTTCCCGACGCGACCGGACGGGGCCGCCAGACAGAGCAACTTACCAGCCTCGAACGTATCCCTATCCCTAAGGTTGACACGCCAAAAAGCGATGACAATCTTAGGGGTGCGCCCTCAAAAAATATGGGAATCCCTAAAATTGGTATCGTGATGAGGAGATGCCCAGCATAGGGATAGGGATATGTTCCAGGCCGCCAGACAGAGCAGCCACAACTCCCGACCCACCCCGCGCACCCCGCGCACCGCATGCCGCCAGGCCCAGTGCGCGGTGGGGTGCTCCCTTGAAGGGGCCCCAGGACACACAAATAAATACACACAAATAAACAGATTCCCAATATTCTCCCATATTTGCTGGGTGTTTGTCTTCCCCCCCACTTCCCATATTTTCCCATATTTTCTATGGAATCGACGATTCATCGTGTCTGTGTGTTTTTTCCCCTCCTGATCCCTGGGGATCCCACCCTGCGCCTTTTCGCTAACGTGGCGACTGCACACCGCGGCCGCCCGGCTCGAAGAGTGCTAGTGTTCGGTCGGGCCGGTCCCCCCTGCAGGGAGAGTTGGGGCGAAACATGAAAAGTACGCCAGAAATGCTCCCAGAATGCTCAAACACCGTCAACAAAGCAATCCCCATCCTATTTTTTAAAACTATCTTTGCACATCCCTCCTGCAGAGGGACAGGCCCGATTTAATGCTGGTGCTCCCTGGGAAACCTTCCCCTCGTGTTCTCGGGTGGGATCGCTCGGAGCAGAACAATTCATAACCCTCGGCCCCCTGGCCCTGGGGAGCGGCACGGCGGCGAAATAGGCCCAACGCCACCAGATCCACCCCCCTTTTGGTCTGCAGAGGCGTGTTGGTTTGCTGGACTTTCTAATACCCTCTGTCATTCCCAAAAATTTCCCAATGCCCGGTGTTGCTAGACGTGCCACTGGCCCAAGGTGCCCCCAGGATTTCCATGGAGGCCCCCACGGGCACGGGCTCCAGAGCACCGCTCACGAGGCCCAGAGGGCCCCAGGGGCTCCAAAATTAAGCGAAAAGCTGGGGGCACCTTGAGCCGGGGGCACCTGGACCAACCCGCGACAAAGGCTCTCGACTGGACCCTGCCCGACAGAGCTTCACATCGACAAGTTCCATATATCCACGGCCAGATTGCTCGCAAGACGGCCCCGGATGGCCACCAACACGGCCTAAGAGGGTTCCAAGATGCCTCCAGATTGGCCCGGCTCCGATGAACACAAGACGGCACAAGTGGCCCGAATAGTCAATAGGAGTAGGCAAACCTGAATAGCTCCCACTTAAGCCCAAGATGGCTCCAATATGCCCTCCAGGCTGGGCCCGAAAATGCCCAAATGATGAATGTCCTAGTCGCGAGTATCGCCTCTAGGCTCGTCGGGCTTCTGACAGCCCATGCCCTACGGGGCCCCCCGGTACGGCTTCCGAAGGCGCCGGGCCGCCAAAGAGCGTCCCCAGACGGCCCAGGTGGCCCTACACAAGGGCTCCAGGAAGCCCCCAAGAAGGCGCAGGAGGCTCGCCAAGAGACTTAAAATGGCCCCTAAGACTGCCCTGGAGGGTTCCTCCCGTCTTCCCCCAGTGGTTTCCATAACAACTGCGGGAACACGCAGTCCACAACGTGGGCGCACTGCTGTCGCTTGATGTTTCACGACACAAGCCTAGAGGACCCCAGGATGCCTCCTAAAGGCTCAACAGGCCAGACAAGACCCCCAAACCAGCCCAAGAGCCCTTCGCCAGTGTCCCTCCAAAGGTTTGCTCGACGACCGTGGTAACATACTGCCCTTGTCTCCACTTCTGCACCACGCGTCTCCAAAAGGCAGGGGGCGGCGGTGGCTTGCCGGAGGCAACTTCGACAAACGAAAACTTTCGGAGTTCCGCGCAGATGTCTTGGGTCGGCGCTGACACCCCTCCAAAGGTCCGAAACGTCGGAGCCCGAGATGCCGCCAGGGAGGCTGCTACCGGCGACCGTCGACCCAAGAAATCAGCGCGGACCTCCGAAAGTAAGAATGAGAACGATGCCAAGTAGCAAGCAGCAAGCATGTTGTTTCAGACCAGCAGCGGCCGCCGTAACTAGGGCAGATGGGCACCGCCCGTGGCGAGACCGGCAGCAAGTCCTGTCGCAGCTCGGTCCCCAGAACTCTGAGGTCAAGGGGCGGCTGGGTGCTCTGGACTCGATGGGGCCCCATGAAATCAATCTAGGAGGAGGAGCAGGAGGAGGAGGAGGAGGAGGAGGAGGAGGAGAAGGAGGAGGAGGAGCAGGAGCAGGAGCAGGAGCAGGAGCAGGAGGAGGAGGAGGAGGAGGAGGAGGAGGAGGAGGAGGAGGAGGAGGAGGAGGAGGAGGAGGAGAGGGAAAAGGGGCGAAATCACATCCATTTAACGTCGATTCCCGTGCCCCTGCTGGGGCCTACTTCGTGCACTCTTGGAATCCCCGATCAGTGCTGGATGCTCCTGCAGGGCCCGACGCCGGCCCCCCTCGGAGGCCGCAGGAAAACGCAGCACAAAGGCAACTCTCGAGCCCAGCACCTCGAATCCTCCTCCTCCTCCTCCTCCTCCTCCTACTCCTCCTCCTCTCCTCTCCTCCTCCTCTCCTCCTCCCTCCTCCTCCTCCTCCTCCTCCTCCCCTCCTCCTCCCTCCTCCCTCCTCCCTCCTCCTCCTCCTCTCCTCCTCCCTCCCTCCTCCTCTCCTCCTCCTCCCTCCTCCTCCCATCCTCCTCCTCCCCCTCCTCTCCTCCTCCTCCCTCCAGCTCCCCATCCTCCTCCTCCTCCTCCTCCCCCTCCTCCTCCTCCTTCCGGTGGCTCCAACCGGTGCTGCCCTTCCTGCTCGCTGGCAGAACCCGCGCTGGGCCACCTCTGGCCCCGGGCCCCCCGAGCTGGCTCCAGACTGCTCGGCCCCGGCACGCCGAGGCCGCGATGTTTCTGCACAGCGTGGGCCGCCCGACGGCCGCACGTGGTCCCCGGGGCCCGCTTGTCGCCCGTGCTTTAAGTCGGGCCCGTCCCCCTACAGGGGGATTTTCGACGAAAAATGAAACATACCCAGAAAATAATCAAAACATACTCCAAGAATAGTCTGAGGACTATTTTTGGCGTATTTTTCACTTTTTGGGGGCATTTTGGGGGTATTTTATATTTTTCATCGAAAATCCCCCTGTAGGGGGACAGGCCTGACTTAACCCTTGCTCGATCTTGGACGGCCCTGGGCCCGAGGCCAAGAGCCCCCCCCCCCCCAGAGGCTCGAGACTGTAAACCAAGCCTCTCGTCGCGAATCCCAGGCAATGCGGCGCTCGGACTTTTTCAGGACGGCGCCCCCGCAAGTCCCGACCCTTTCCCCGGGACCGGTTTTTCGTCCTGGGTCCTTTTTGTCCTGGAGGTAGGAAAGGGGTATGGTATAAAGGGGTGTGGTGCTAATTGCATGTAAAGGGACATTGGCGATGTGATTCATCGCAGATAGCATCGCCATTTCCACGATTGACACCATACCCCTTTATGCCACACCCCCTTCCTACCTCCAGATTTGTGACGGTCCCGAGGCCCGGCGAGGGCCACCCGGGGCCGAAAATAGCCCCAAACCTCCCGTCCCGATCTTGGTTACGACGCGGTCACGTCTGGGAACAAGACCTCTCGTCGCGACCTTATCCAGGACGCGAGACAAGGTCTGGGTCTCCGTCCCCGTCCCTAGAGATCCGACGTCGTGTTTTTTTTCCATACGGGGTCCCCGGAGGTCTCGACCACTTCCCCAGGACCGCTTTCTCCTCCCGCGTCGTTTTTTGACGGCCCCGAGGCCCGGTAAGGGCCCCCAGAGGCCGAAAATAGCGAAAAACCTTCGTCTTGATTTTTGTCGATGCGCTGGAGGAGGAGGAGGAGGAGGAGGAGGAGGAGGAGGAGGAGGAGGAGGAGGAAGAGGAGGAGGAGGAGGAGAGAGGAGGAGGAGGAGGAGGAGGAGGAGGAGGAGGAGGAGGAGGAGGAGGGGGAGGGGGAGGGGGTCTGGGAGGGCTCGGCCTCCGTGCCCGTCCGCACGGGGGGGCCCCCGAGGTCCTGCCCTTGACGGCGGCCGCGCCCCGGAAGTCGCGGAAGGCGGGGCGGACCTCCGGGGGGGGGCGGCCGGCCGTGGCGCCCTGCACCGGCCCTGCCCTGACTCCAGATCCGCCCTACTTTGGAGGAGGGAGGAGGGAGGAGGGAGGAGGGAGGAGGGAGGAGGAGGAGGGGAGGAGGAGGAGGAGGAGGAGGAGGAGGAGGAGGAGGAGGAGGAGGAGGAGGAGGAGCCCGACTCCAGATCCGCCCTGCTCTGGCTTCTTTTCCAGCTTAAAAGTGCGTCGGAAATCCACCTATGAGAAGCCGAAAAAGTAGGGCGGGAATTTCTGCGCCCAACACAAAAATAGGGTGGAAATCCACAGAAGCAGGGCGGAAGCGGCAACAGAAAAGTAGGGCGGAAACTGGCATCAGCGGGGCTTGAAAAGTAAGGCGGAAATTCCAAGCCCTACTTACGAATTTCCCCAAAGTAGGGCGGATCCGGAGTCAGGGTGACCCAGGGCCATCGTGGGCCCAGAGTTAGTCTGGGCATCGCTCGGACGTCCATTTCCTGTGTTTGTTGCTCGGTTTCGTGCGTGTTTTTTTCGCCGGATGGTCGAGGATGCTCCTCGAAGGTCCTCGCCGAAGGAAAAGTGCACACGTCCGAGCGATGCCAAGTAGTTAGGAGGCAACCATGCTGGGAGGTTTTCGTGAGATCAAGGAGGATTGAGCCCCATTGGGGGGGCTGTTACGCCGCAGTGGGCCTCGGATCAAGCGGGACGAAGCCGGATTGAGCGGGAGTAAGCGGGATTAAGCCTGACTAAGCGGGATCTGGCCATCGCTCGGACGTCCATATTCCCTGTGTTTTTTTCGGTTTCGTGCGTGGTTTTTTCGCAAAATGATCAAGGATGCTCCTCGATGGCCCTCGCCGAGAGAAATATGCACACGTCCGAGCGATGCCAAGGGATTAGGCCGGATAAGCGGGATTAAGCGTGATTCAGCCGGATGAAGCGGGACTTCGGACCAGGGCTACATCAGAATTCGACCTCCAAGGAGTTGCACCCGAAAGCTAGGTCGGGCACGTCCCCGTACAGGTGGATTGTGGGCGGATAATGAAAAACAGTCAAAAATAGCATAAACATATACCACAAGAGAGTCGGTGCATGCGCCCCTCCTGGCCTGACCAGGGCAGGCACGTGTAGCGTTAGGTCGGGCCTGTCCCCCCACAGGCGGATGTTGGACGAAATCTAGAGAATATGCAACATCGTATTTTTTCAATACTCCAAAATACATCGTCCCCAAACTATTTGTTTGTGACCATTCTTGGATATTGCTCCTGTGGAGGGACAGGCCCTACTTAAGCCCAGAGTCGGTGCCTGCGCCCCTCCTGGCCGGACCAGGACAGGCACAGGATCGGCCTAGCCTTAGGTCGGGCATGTCCCCATACAGGGGGATTTTGAACGACTCTGTTTATACACAAACTCAAAAATTACCCCCAAAATAATCAAACAATACCCCTAACATCGTGCCCAGACTATGTTCTAACTGTTTTTTTTGAATACTCCTCCTGCAGAGGGACGGGACCGACCTAAGCACAGAGTCGGTGCCTGCGCCCCTCCTGGCCGAACCAGGGAAGGCACGCACATAGCGAGCGGCCTACAGCCAGGGCCGGTGTGCCCAGAAGTCCGACGTCTTCACTGCTTCAGTGTGCGGGGTATCGCTGGGAGCCTCGGCCCTCTCTCTGGGGCGGGTCCTTGAATTCAGAGACGACTGACTGGTTTCTGAACTCCGAACGACTGGTCTTTGAATTCAGAAGCGACCCTCTCTCTGGGGCGGGCCTTTCCTCTAAAGTCGCTTTCGAACGGTCCTGGGGCTCCTCGAGGGCCCCCAAAGGCCAGAAATCACGGAGACAGGTGCATCCTGTGTTTGTTTAAGACGTTGGAGGTCTGGGCGTGCAGCGTGGAGCCGGCGCCCTCCGAGGACCGTCACGTTCCCGGACAGGGCGACGTCGGCGTCCTTGGGGAACTTTGACCACCGCCTGAGAGAGCAGCAGAAAAGTGCATTACGCCAGAGATCGGGAGCGGCCAAGAGGGGGGTGTCCAAAAGGGGGGGTGCAAATCATAACCGGCGGCATGTGCGCGGCCCAGCGGGGGGGCCAGGGACGTAATGAAATATGAAGAGGCGCCATGAAATCTGGGGATATCATGGCCCCCGCCATGATATCCCCCCCCCCCTAGTCATCACCCCCCTCTTTTCCGTCCCCGAAGAGAAAGACCACAATCAATGGATGGTTTTCGCTGAGGAGATCGACCAGGAACCTGGGAGCCCGGGAACCCAGAACCCACCGATAATCGGCCCGGAACCACTTACCGGGAACCTGGGAACCCGGAACCGGGAGCCCGGGAACCCTGCTACCAAAATCGGCGGGAAACTCGCGCCAAATCTTTCCACTTCCGCTAGGACCCCTCCAGTACAAGCACTGCCCTGACTCCGGATCCGCCCTACTTTGGGGACATTCGTAAGCAGGGCTTGGAACTTCCGCCTTACTTTTCAAGCCCCGCCGATGCCAGTTTCCGCCCTACTTTTCTGTTGCTGTTTCCGCCCTGCTTCCGTGGACTTCCGCCCAACTGTATGTTGGGCGCAGGAGTTTCGGCCCACCTTATTCGGCGTCTAATAGGTGGATTTCCGACGCACTTTTAAGTTGGAACAAAAAGCCAAAGTAGGGCGGATCTGGAGTCAGGGTGATTGGGGAACCATTCAGTACAAGCACTGATTCAGGCCTCGGAACAAATCAGCGAACACATGCCACATTCATCCGTCAACGCCTCCCCCTCCCCCAATGTTCAAAGTTGGCGGTGGGTCTGATGAGACCAACTTCGACCGCAGTCTCCCCCGCGCGTGCCAACATTGAGCTTGGGGGGGGAGGGGGAGTGTTCAGTAATTGTTTCCCTCTACCGTTGGGGAACCAGCAGTAATCTTCGGAGGCCCGCGCGGGGTTCTTGGATCTGCGCCGGACCCCCCCCCCCGTCCCTGGCGCGCCAGGGGCGCGGCGCCGGCTAGGCGCCGCCAGGGCGCGCGGGCCTCCGAGAGCTTTGCCCTGAGATGCAAGCTCTGCCCCTCCCCCCTCGCCAGCAGTATGATCGCTAGCACCTCATTTAGGGGGAAGACAAACCTACCTCGCTTTTGACCACCCTCGCTTCCAAGAGATACCAAACGATGCCAAACTACGGCCTGTGCTGGTCAGGCCGATTGACGAGGAGGCGCGTGGTCTGACTTCGTTTTGCCTGGAAGCGAAAGCGGGGTAGGTAATTGACGCTCTGATCATAACATGAACAAGCAGATCGGCGCCGCCCTCCTGGCGATGTTGCCGGCACATGCAACAACGGGCCATATCATGAACCGACTCCGCCGCTCGCCCGAGGCCTGACCCCATGGGGAACAGCGAAACGCCATGAGAATGCAATGGGGCACCCATTCTCATACACGTTACGAGTACAGTCGAGGCGCTGACCTAAGGAACCCTAAATAAGGAACGAGGCCCCTTTTTCCCATCAGTGAAACTTCGATTTCCCATCGAGATCCTGAGGAAAATCCAAGGCAAGCTGTGAAACACTTGAGGAACACGGAGCCCCTCCCCAACCAAAAGGGTTCCTTCTTCAGGGCCCCGACTGTACATGTGCCCAGAGGATTGAGCAGGGACCGACCGTCCCGGCATTCCTATAGGCCTACCCAGGAATTTCCCGAGAACCCAACAAAAACGTTCTAATAACAAAAACGATGTTCTTAGAACATACACCCGAGGTAGCAAAACAAGACAGTCCCAGCCAGAAAGGTTCTAAGAACATTCCCCGTGCAGACCACAAACAAGCTCTTGGAGCATTCGTTGGCATGCCTATAGGCGAGCTGAGACGCTCCGCCACTGCTTGAGAGGACATCTGTCTTGTCTTGTTGCTCGACGCCTCCACCGCGTCCGCTCGGCGCGGCCGGCGCCGGGGCCGACCAGCAGGGCGAAGTGGTCGGGCTCGCTGCGGCTGTTCGCGGCCTTGGCGGCCGTGTGCACGCGGACCTCCTGACCCGCCCAGGGAGGCTCCCTGGCACACCGCCGCTGGAGGAAGGGGAGACGGCACGTCCCTGGCGCTCCGCCTGCCACGCGCCCTCCGACCAGCAGGCGGCTCGGTTCGGTGATCTTTTCTCGAGGACAAAGAGATTGCGGAACTCCGCCGCGGCCTCCTTGGGTCTGGGCTGGACCACCTGGCGCCGCCTCCGGTGCCGCCCCTGGTGATGGGCCTGTTTGCCACCACCACCACCACTACAAGTTGGAGGGGGAGGAGGAGGAGGGGGAGGAGGAGGAGGAGGAGGAGGAGGAGGAGGAGGAGGAGGAGGAGGACCCCCTCCCCCTCCGACTTATGGTGGTGGCGGTGGAAAACGGGCCCATCACCTGGCGCGCCAGGGAGGGGGTTGCAGCGCAGACCCAAGACGCTCGCGCGGACCTCCGAGCGCGCATGTCTGCTCCTGCGCTCTTGGCCCTCGAGAAGACCACGAAACCATCCGCTCGCTGGTCGGCAGGCGCGACAGGAGGAGGAGGAGGAGGAGGAGGAGGAGGAGGAGGAGGAGGAGGAGGGGGAGGAGGGGGAGGAGGAGGAGGAGGAGGAGGAGGAGGAGGAGGAGGAGGAGGAGGACCAGTGACAACCCAAGAGGCATCAATGATATTGGAATGAACCATCCCTCCAAGTTCCCTCTTCATAGGCCTCTACCGCGGCTCATTTTTACTGAAGGGACTGCATCGTGGGAAGACAACTGTCTGAAGACCCTGAAGCATGCCAAACATAGTTCTCGGGACTCTAACGCCACGGATCAACTTGACTGTTGCGTCTTCACGATCCTGAATCGTGCCAGAACGCCATTCCTGGGACTTGAACACCGCGAATCAAGATAGCTTGTGCACCCTCATAAACCTGAATCCTTCCAAACATGATTTCTGGTGCGTTGATCATGGGAATTCGTGAAGCTCTTGCAATTGTTTAACACGAATGTGCGCGGCGCTAAGGCGAGAACCACATTGTGAAAAGGAACCGCCCTCAATCCGTGAAGCTCAGGTAATTGTTTAACACGAGTGTGCGCGGCGCTAAAGCGAGAACCACATTTTGAAAATGGGCCGCCTTCAAACCGTGAAACTCTTGCAAATGTTCAAGACGAGTGTGCGCGGCGCTAAAGCCAGAGCCACATTTTCAAAACGACTCGCCTTCAGTCCGTGAAACTCTTGCACATGTTTAAGACGAGTGTGCGCGGCGCTAAAGCCAGAGCCACATTTTGAAAACGACTCGCCTTCAGTCCGTGAAACTCTTGCACATGTTTGAGACGAGCGCGCGCGGCGCTGAAGCGAGAACCACATGTTGCAAACCACCCGCCTTCAATCCGTGAAACTCTTGCACATCTTTACGACGAGTGTGCGTGGCGCTCAGGCGAGAACCACATGTTGAAAACCACCCGCCTTCAATCCGTGAAACTCTTGCACATCTTTACGACGAGTGTGCGTGGCGCTCAGGCGAGAACCACATGTTGAAAACCACCCGCCCTCCATCTGTGAAACTGTTATCATTGTTGAAACCTCAGGGTCGTAAGAAGTGAGGAAGTCTCAGGCGAAACGCCCGCCCGCCCTAAAAACTGGCCTCGGGGTGCGACAGGGAGAAATTATTTAGAAGGAAAAGGAATGGAGGAGGAGGAGGAGGAGGAGGAGGAGAAGGAGGAGGAGGAGGCGAAGAGGGAGGAGGAGAGGAGGAGGTGGAGGAGGAGGGGGAGGAGGGAGGAGGAGGCGGAGGAGGAGGAGGAGGACGAGGAGAGGAGGAGGAGGAGGAGGAGGAGGTGGAGGAGGAAGGAGGAGGAGGAGGAGGCGGGCGAGGAGGAGGGGAGGTGGAGGGAGGAGGAGGAGGAGGAGGTGGTGGGAGGAGGAGGAGGAGGAGGAGGAGGAGGAGGTGGAGGAGGCAGGAGGAGGAGGAGGAGGAGGAGGAGGAGGAGGAGGTGGAGGAGGAGGAGGAGGAGGAGGAGGAGGCGGAGAGCCAGCGTCGCTCTCTTCTCCGAGCCGCAGGCGCCCGGCCAGAGCCGCCCTGGGCCCCAGCGCGGGGCGCAGGCCCGCCGGGCCTCTCGGCCGGGAGGGCGCGCGCACACCGTGCCGGGGCCCAGGGCAGGCGGTGCACCGGCGGAGCCCGCCGCGCGCGCCCCCCTGGAGCTCCGGCGTCGAGGGGGGGCGCCCAGGGACACACAGAGCGAATCCCAGGACTCCCCACACATTCCCAGATCTCTTCTGGGTTCTCGTCCTCCTCCCCACTTCCCGCACCTTCCCCCACACGATCGCGTCGCAAACAAAATCAGGACGGGAAGTTTTTGGCAATTTTCGGCCCGGGGGGGCCCTCGCCGGGCCTCGGGACCGTCAAAAACCGACTTAGGACGAAAAACCGGCCCCGGGGAAAGGGTCGGGACTTCCAGGGACGCCGTCCTGAAAAAATCAGGACGTCGCACGTCTGGGCCCACCTTCTCGGGGGAATCGACGGCTAATTGTGCCTGTGTGTTCTTGTTCCCTGCTGAGACGTGGCGACTTTGGCGCAGCGTGGGCCCCTGGAGGTCTGGACCTGGACCCCTTCCCCGAGGACGCGCTTTTCGTCCCGAGTCCGACCGCGGGCACGGCGAGGGCCCCCCCGGGGCCCGAAAGCGGTCGGAAGCCGCCCGTCGCGCTTCCTCCACGACGATTGGCTATACTCCAGATTTCGTAATAAAAGGGAGGGGGTCTGGACCCTCCAAGGCAAGCCATTTCAGGCCTCCCCCGTGGGAGAACCCTCCAAAACATCGTCCCCAGACCCCCCAGGCCCTCCAAGATAGCCTGGAAGAGACCCCCCCCCCGAAATGAGACCCCCCTCCCTTTACTACGAAATCTGGAGTACACGTGAGGGTGACCCTGGGCAAGCATGACCTCTGGTGCGCGGCTTCAGAGGGGGGGGGGGGGGGCGAAGGGGCCCAACCGAGCGCGCACGCCGCCGCCACCGCCACGCGCTCGGCGACCCGGTGATCCCCGTGTGCCCGCACCAGAGGTCGCTCCGGCGAATCGCTCTTGCGCCTGGTCGAGACGAGAGTTATGATCTTCCAACCCACTTCAGCCTCGATCACCAGAAAGAATTTCGAGCACCAGAACAGTGCCGAAGCTCGGAGGTTTTCACGTGTCGGGCCCTGGGAGACACTCGTTTCGACACTCTTCCGGGTGCTCGAAATGACTTCTGGGATGTGGTCCTCAAGTACGATGGGAACAACATAAGACGAGAGGTGATGTTGGGGCCTGATTTCCACCACCACCACCACCACAGGTTGGAGGGGGGAGGAGGAGGACGAGGACGAGGACGAGGACGAGGAGGAGGAGGAGGAGGAGGAGGAGGAGGAGGAGGGAGAGAAAGACGAAGAGGAGGAGGAGGAGGAGGTGGAGGAGGTGGAGGAGGAGGAGGAGGAGGAGGAGGAGGAGGACTCCCTCCCCCTCCAACTTATGGTGGTGGTGGAAACCAGGCGCCTCAGGTCACTCTTACGCCTGGTCGAGACGAGAGGTGGTGCGGAGTCCTCTCCGACCCACTCGCCGCTGAGGACCACCTCCGTGATCCAGAGGCCGCAGGGGGCCGGTCTCATCCTGGCGCGGACCTCGAGCTGGGGCGGCAGGCCGTCGTCGAACGGCACGCGCAGGAGGGCGTACTCGCCCGGCTTGTTGACGTCGAACGACTCCCCGAGCAGGTTCGTGACGGTCCGGGCAGCGCCAGAGGGGGGCCACCACGACCGACAGAGGTGGTCGCCACGGAAATGCCCCAGGATTCCTCGATCCTTGACCCACCCTCCTCCTCGACGCTCAGTTTCCAGGAGGACCCCGAGAGCCGACATGGCGAACCGAAATACAAGATCGCGAAAAACTGCGACCAGAGACCTAGACCCCATCTTTCTGCGGCATTTTCCGAGCCGGGTCGACCTGTAATGGTCCTAGGGCCCGAACCCAGGCGAGCACGGCAGGTGCGAAACAAGAGCGACGCCCAGATGAAGGCACGGGCTGAGGAACCATCGGATGATAAGGAATCCAGGGTCTGGACACTGATGGCACTCCACTCGTGGATCGGCCACGAGTCCCACCGCCGCCCTCACCAAACAAGAAGCCCTCCAGGGTCAGCATGGGCCCTCCTGGGAACATGCCCCCCCTGAGATCCGACGTTGCAAAAAATTGCAGCACCGCAAAAATCACGCCCGGAGACCCGGACCTCATCTTTCCGCGTCATGTTTCGAGGCCGATCGATCTGTGAGGGGCCCGGGGCCCGAAACCGAGCGAACACGCCCGTCGCAAAAAAACGGCAGCGCCAGGATCTCAGGGTCCACCAAGAGGCCCCCGGCAGTGGTGACTCCCCCGTGGCACCGCCCGAGCTGTGGGGGTCCCCCACCGCCGTGCTCGGCGGTGCGGGGGGCGCCGGAGCGGGCGTCGGGGCCG